TGTGTTGAATTGCCATCCCGTTTATATGTCATGCCGCCGGAAAATGAAATGACAGTTTTGTTATCTGCCTCTAAATTGTATGAAATGTCTTCCTATGTATTTATAGCTGACGAGAACATTATGATTGTGGAGTTTGTTTTGTCGCCTAGATTGGAAAATGAAATTATATTAGTATCGTGGCGGTAAAAACAGAAAATGAATTGGATGTGCTGGCAGATATACAATGTTTTAAAATAATGTTTGTAATGAGAGTTAGCTACATAATTTTTTTTTATTATTATTAGAAAATGTACAAATTGTTGAAATTTTACAACTCATACATAATATTTATTGATGTATGACAGTTTGTCAGTTTTTCTATGGATATTTCATAGTTCACATCACGATTATCGACCTATTTAAAAAGAGGTAGGAATTAAGTGATACAACAGGAGTTAACCTGTTGTAACCTATATATATATATATATATATATATATATATATATATATATATATATATATATAATATATATATATATATATAATATTGATAAAGTTGTATTTTATTAATTTTTATTTTTTATTTATAATAAATGTAATTTTTAAAATATGTGGTTCGTTGTTTAATTTAATATACCTCGGCTAGCTCAATTATGTGTTCGTTCTAAGCAATCTGTCACTGTGTGACGTCGACTCTGTAGTCTCCTGGTAGAGTTCAAAAAAAAATTAAACCAAAATTTACTTTAGACCTTTGATAAATTAACCCAAATGAAGCACGTTATTTATTAATATTGAACAAATTTAATATAAACAATAAAATTCGTCTGCAACTTCGGTTGCCTTTACAAATTTACAAAAATAGGAATCGGTTAAGTCTTAACGTGGTTTAGTGACGTGACAATAAAAATGTATTACAAAATGTGGAGACTCTCTACAAGTACCTAAAAACTAAATAAATATTGCAACTTTATAAAGTGTTTAAATGAACTATAAAGAAAAAGAAAATGAACACTTTATTCCGCTGATACTCAAATATAATCAAAATTTCAAATGATCCCCAAAATTATTGTCCAACCTCACTTTAAAACAGTTCTGATTTCTTTAAAGGAAACTAACTACTCAAAAATAATCGGTGAAACTGGAATATCAATCCTCTCTTCGGAAGTTAAGGTACGTACTATTCTATTTTTAATTTAATGATCATTAATAATTTCAATTTTTAAGGCCTATCGCAATTATGTTAATTCATGAATTTTAATTTTCTCAATTTAAATGACATTTCTATACTCCAATATAATTTATAAGTGAAATTGTTTCTCTTACTCTCTGGAACAAATTTCTGGATATCTCTGCTGTGGAAACTGTGGAAAAACTAAATTCTAATTAGACGAGTTAAAAAACACTCCCGACCTATTCCACAGTTTCAGGGCTCTCCTTCGTCCAAAAAAAAACCTCGTCGGCGTCCTCTCCAAACACCAATTCCCATTATTATCCGTTGCTAACAGCAACCAACGTTCTTTTTTTTTCTGTCTTCTATTTAAATATTTTAAACCATAAAACTGTCCTGTTTGACATATTTGTCAAGCCACATTACTTTCTCATAATCACTTTAATCACATATAATTTGGGAATTTACAAAAAAAAATGTTTAGATATAAAACTTATTCTATTACAATACTAATTTATTCTTTTCATCTCCACATCATTGTAATTTCTTATTTAACAAAACCCCTATTAATTTAGCTCCCACAGACTGTCAAATAAACTGTCAAGCAATTTATTTTCTGACGTTTATTAAAATTTCTATGTTTAAATATTTTTTAAAATTCTTCTTTTTTTGTTCTTTTTAAGGTTTAGACGATTCACCTATACACTAGGCAACTATACTATTCAGAAATTATTAACACTATACCAGGTAAGTCAAAATTAATTTATTTAACAATTTACTAATCTTTTTCTCTCTTTTATTTCAGAGTCGAACCCACATTGTGATGGCTTCATGAAATTCATAAACAACAAACTCATATAAAAATCCATTAAAGTTGTATATATTTTAACATATTGAAATCATTTCAATATATATATATATTTATATATATATATATATATATATATTTGAGTGAGAACTGTTTAGAAGTATGATTCCCAGTATCAGTCATGATTCCCGAGAGAAAAACTTATAGACCTCTTCTTTATTGAGCACCCTAGGTAAAGTCTACGAGAGGATCCTTAAAGATAGACTCGTAGAATTCCTACATGCTCACTTTGCCATTCCCGATTACCAATTCGGATTCAGGGCTGAATACTCCACACACAATGCATTGGTTGAAGCAACAACCTTCATCGCAAAATCACTTAACGAAAGGAACCAAGCCATAGGCATAATCCTTGACGTCCAGAAGGCATTTATCAGGTCTGGCATACAGGCTTGAATTGGTATCAATAGACTATATATAGAAGATATAGAAGATAGATATAGAAGATATAGAAATTCTATAATATCATCTAAAACTTATCCAGGAGCGGACATATCCTCCGACCACAACCCGGTTGTTTTGTCGATGAGAGTGAAACTAAAGAAGGTCAACAGCCCTAGCCCCAAGAAAATCATAGATACAAGACGTCTCAAACAAGACAACACATATGTGGAAACCAAATTTAAAATAAACGAGAGCTTAAGGAAAGTCAAAGAAGATAATGCAGAAACTCTAACTATTAACCAAAAATGGGGAAAAATTCAACATCCCTTGTGTCAGTTGGAAAAGAAACCCTCAAACCACTTAAAGAAAAAACAAAACCTTGGATGACAGTAGAAATTCTTGAACTCATGAAAGAACGAAGAAAACATAAAGCAAAAGACCTGAATAAATACAAAGAAATTCAGAGAAACATCAGAAAGAAAATTCGAGAGGCAAAAGAGAGGTGGCTCTCCGACAGATGCAAGGAAATAGAAGATCTGGATAAAAAGTACGATAGCTTTAATTTACACAAAAAAATCAAAGAAATGACAGGTTCTAGAAAGCGTACAAAAACGAATATCCTTAAAAATGATAAAGGGGATATTATTACTGATATGAGAGAGATTATGTCACTGGACCAATTACATTCAACAACTATTTAATGATGAAAGAGAAGAACTGTCATTAGAAACCCGAGGATACCGGACCACCAATATTAAGAGAAGAAGTCATCTATGCCATCAAAAACACAAAAGAGGGTAAAGCTACTGGACCAGATGAGGTGCCCATCGAATTATTAAAACTCATCGATGAAGATGTTATTGTAATGTTGAACTTTAATCTAATATATCAGACTGCCACAATCCCCAGACAATGTCTGCAATCAACCTTTGTAGCAATTCCCAAAAAACCAAGTTCAACAACTTGCTCAGACCACAGAACAATAGCTTTAATGAGTCACACACTTAAAACATTTTTGAAAATAATTCACAGCAGAATTGTTAAAACTCTTGAATATGAGATTAGTGACACACAATTTGGCTTTAGAAATGGTATGAGTACAAGAGATGCTTTGTTCGGCTTGAATGTGCTGGCTCAGAGATGCATGGACATGAATCAGGATATGTACTTATGTTTTGTAGACTTTGAAAAGGCATTTGATAAAGTTCAACATAAAAAGCTTGTAGATATATTAAAAAGCAAAAATATTGACAGTCGTGATCTGAAAATTATATCTAATTTATATTGGAATCAAACTGCCAAGGTAAGAGTTGACAGCCAGTACACCGAAAATATCAAAATATAGAGAGGAGTCCGCCAGGGTTGCGTGCTGTCCCCACTACTTTTCAATATCTACAGTGAAGCGGTATTTCAAGAAGCGCTCTCAGACTCAATAGAAGGTAATCTATCAATGGAGAAGTTTTGAATAACTTACGTTTTGCAGACGATACAGTAATAATTACGGATAACAACAATGATTTACAGAACGTAATGCAACGCCTTAATGAACGCTGTCATGAGTACGGACTGAAGATAAATTTAAAGAAAACTAAATGCATGATCATGACTAAATCTGCACATGCAAATATCCAATTGACTATTGAAGATACTGCAATTGAGAGTGTTAATAACTATAAATACTTAGGAACATGGATAACATCAGATGTAGACCAAACCAAAGAAATTAAGACACGTATTGAAATAGCACGTACATCATTTATTAAACTTAAAAAGTTTCTTTGTTGTCGGGATATAAGGTTAGAACTACGCCTGAGAATGCTTCGATGTTACGTGTTCTCTACTCTTCTTTATGGTTTGGAAGCTTGGACACTAAAACAAGTTCATCTGAATAAGTTGGCCGCCTTTGAATTTTGGTGTTACAGAAGAATCCTACAAATATCATGGATTCAAATAATGTCAAACATGGAAGTAACTAGAAGGTTAGGAAATGAGGCGGAAATAATATTAACTATTAAAAGACGAAAACTTGAGTACTTGGGACATGTGATGAGAGGGCAAAAATACGCATTATTACAACTTATTATGCAGGGCAAAATCCGAGGAAAGCGAAATGTGGGAAGACGAAGAATATCCTGGCTTAAGAACTTAAGGGAATGGTTTGAATGCAGTAGTGCAGAACTTTTTAGAGCGGCAGTCAACAGAGTCCGCATAGCCATGATGATTTCCTACCTTCGATAGAAGATGGAACTTACAGAAGAAGAAGAAGACTGTTATAACGTTATTTCTGTATCTACGTCTTGATACAAACCTCCACACGTTGGGTAGTGTATTCTGTGCCCATACGGAAAGCCAGCAAATTGTCCTGCTATTTCCTCCTTCTCGAGTCTTAAGTTGCAAAAAGTGCCACCTATTTGCAACCATCAAAGCGGTAGCAAATTCTTATAGAAATCTGTGAATCTTTTACAAATTTCGTACGGCTCAAAAAGACAGAAAGCGATAGTGGTCCATCAAAATAGCAGGACAATAAGCTGGCTTTTCGTGTAGGAGTTTGTATCTGAGTTTCATCGAATAGAAATAAAAATTTAAAAAAGATAAAAAAAAATGAGAAAACTTTCTAACGTAAACGTTTGCAAACATTTTAAACACACTGTGGTAAATAAACCGATATAAAAGCTTATAAAACGTTAAGATGCTTTTTCAAAAAATCCAATAAATTTAAGCTTTAGCTTTTATAACAGGATATAACTCACTTGGACGAGTAGATAAGACATTTTCTGTTGCACGCTCAAACCTTCTTCCCGTGCACTTTGTGTCACGAACTTTTATGAATTCTAAAATCTATTTAGAGAGCCTGAACAGAATGATTACTTAATTCCGCTTATCGATAATCTTTTATAAGTATGATTAGTTAAATTTATCGCTGTCACTTCAGTTTGTTCACAGATCGATCCGATTTGCCAAGCTTTTAATATTTTCAATTCAAAAATTATATAAAGTGGGGACAATATATTCAAATATTTTAAACAATAAAACATTTTTTAAACAATGTAATTGAAATAATAAGAAATTTATCATTTTCTCTATGTTTTATCTTCAATTTTATAATTCATTAAAGAAATTTATTATTTTCAACACGTAAGAAAGTACATATTTACTTTATTTTTGGGGGTTGAATCAAAAGCTTTAAAGGGAAAAAAATTACCGAAGAGAAATATCAACATATAAAAACCGCATTAAAGGTGAAACGGAAAAACACCTAGAAAGAAAAGACAAAATTAGTAAACAGTAATGGTCGAACAAAGAAATTGAAGAAATGATTAAGCAAAAAAACAAAAGTGCAAAGAGTTTATTCAAGATAGATGCGAACAAACAGTAGAAGTGTATAGTTCGCCAAATATAGCTGAAAGTGTGAAAACGCGTGACGATCATGATGCGCATTCGTTTCATTCGTTAAACGACGGACCTCGCACTCGCACTGACGGTCCAGACCGTTTGTATGTGCGTTCTCACTTCATTGTTAGCGCAGGCAATGGGAATTTCACACTTTCAGCTATATTTGGTGAACTATACAAGCAAATTAAGAAAAGAGTTAAACAAGAAGTACTTAAGGCTTATCCTCGAAAATTCTAACGGTAAATTTCAGTTTGCTATCTCTATTTCAAAAATTTCTTTCTTTACGAAAACAAAATCTGTTCATGAAGTAATATTCTAAAACTTCGTTTAGATCTCTTTCAAGCCCAGGTCAAAAATTCGTTTACCTTTTACTCGAGCCGATTATACACCGAGACAACCCCTGCAGTGACAGGTTTTGGTTTACAATAAGACCATAAATCTCTTTAGTGGTATTTTGAGTAAATATAATAACAGATCAAAGTAATTAATTCTATTCATAAATTTACAATGTAACAAAATGTACATACATAATTTATTTGTTATTTTTTTACGAAAAAAATTGGCTGTCTGAAGTTTAACGTAGATTAAAGTTTACGGAAAATAAAAATTATAAAAAAAAGATCATTATTATATATCATAAAATTTGATTAGTATCACGATCATTAAAATTGATAAAATGAAACGATATAAATATAGAGTTATGTCTAATGTTTCTTCAGAAGGTGTTTCAAATAAAAATATAATAAAATCTTATCTAATTAGTATCACGATCATTAAAATTGATAAAATGAAACTATATAAATATAGAATTATGTCTAATGTTTCTTCAGAAGGTGTTTCAAATAAAAATTATAATAAAAATCTTGAAATTTTTGTAGCATATTTTCCCACAGTTCCAATATTTATCAATCTTTCGAATAAAATATTTTTTGGGGTCCATACCGCAACTAACAGTATTCTCTATTCGATATAAATAACAAATAACTGTCCTTGCACTGGATAGTAATAGAAATCAGTTCTTTTAAAATTTCTTGAAGGAAGGAATAATTTAGTCACGCTATCATTTCCAATTTTGATTTTGGATATTGAATTTGATAGGTTGTGATTTATTACACCAAAATCTAATAAAATATACCATGACACAAGAAATAGTTTCAGAATAAGTTTGATGTGTTGTTTATTATCATTCAGTTAGAGACTAATTTACTTCTTACAGTGCTAATCTAACAGACAATTATTATTGTCAAATGAAAGAAATAAGATAATTTACTTGTGTGCTTGTGGTTAGTAACGTCGGCCCTATGCAACAATTGTCAACAAAGAACGGAGTACAAAAGTTTAGATTTATGAGATTTATGCAGGAGCATTATGAACTTAGATGTATACTGAGTACTTATTTCAAAAATTTACAATTAAGGATTTAATTTGATATATGTAAATATACTCCTAGATCTAGAGAAAGTAGATCTAGTACAGAGAAAAACAGCTGGAGAACCAAAATAGATTTTATGGGAAGGAGTTGTTGAAGATCAAAATTAGACAGAATTGGAAAGCTGCTTTTTCAAAAATGAACTTTATTAAAAATCGGTACAGATCTCGGTTGACAGATGAACATTTCGACTTGCTAATGAGAATCTGTTGCACTATCCTCACTCCAAATTTCAGACAGGTTGTACAAAATAAAAAATGTCATTTTCTCACTAATAGTTTAATTTTGTAATGAGTTTTACCTTTATTTTTATACTTATTGTAATCATTAATTTTAAATTTAATTAAACTAATGTAAAATTTGTTATGTGCGTTATTTTATATTCCCTTCTTCTCTGCGTTTTAAATAAGAGTACTTTTCAACTGAGCATCTAATTAAAATAGTTTTTAGATTTATAAAGCTTAAACAAACATCTATCTTGCATTGAAACTAATGTAGAAAAATCATGAATGTGTTGCTTGTGTGAGTCCATTTCAAATAGGTAAAGAAATAATAAATAAGACTTACTCACAATCAATTTAATTTAACTATCAGACGACCGGTTTCGCTTTCTACAATATGCAAAGCATCTTCAGGTCTCGATACAAAGTTAAATAAATGCTGAAATGATAAAAACTCATATTAGGGTGTTGTCTAATAAAGATAAACAAAGTAGATGTTGGAAATTACAATAATTATGCCAATATTACATGTCTGTGGTTTTATTTCAAAAAGAGTAAGTTGAATAAAAAGGTATAAAAAGTTTAAAAAGTTTAAACAGACAAGGTAAGGCCCACAAATTGTTATAAAATAGTCTATTAGATTGTAATAAATTAATAAATGAGCAAATAAATAAACATTACTTACATGCCGGTACTCTATTAATTGATGGATGGTAGAACATGGTTGAAACTACTATGTATTGTTGAATGGAGAACTCAATTCTGCTATTGTAGTTGTATGACAGTAAACGGGAAGTTCTTGAGGAGATAGATTTGATCCAATGAAGCAGAGATATGTGTGTGATTGTTTGTTAAATGAAAGGGATGTAATATACCATTGTATTATTAAAAGTTATTTATACTTATTCGAGAGATATATTTATGAAATGTTTATTGAGTAATTGTTTTATGAAGGTGACAGTTTTATGACAATGAATAAGTTTAGATGTACAAATTGTGTGGGTGTGCAATTATTTTTCAACTTGTAGTTATCAAATCTCTTTGATAAAGTTCTATTGGCAAAATAGTAGATTATTGTAAAGTCAAGTAAATAAATATTAGAATTAAAACAATTAAGGACAATTTAAAACACACTAAAACAGAAAACATTAGAAGGGACGAAACAAACATTAAATTTAAAAGGGGAAGGACTTTTATGCACTACATTTCAGTCTGGGCACAATGAGTTTTTTATGTGTTATTTATTAGATTTTAGTGTAAATTTGGCAGATGTAGGTTAGCATGTGACAGTTCTTCTTCTGTTTCTCAATACTGCAAGTTAAGTTTTCTAGTTTTATGAAATATGCTGATATTATTGAATGTCTATAAATTGTTTCAATTAAGATATCAAAAGTAAATTGATGTGTTTAATATTGGCATACTTTAACAATCTTTAATTAATTAAATTTAAATGTAACAATACGAGTAATTGAAAAACATCCCACATTATAACTAAAAATTTCATTTAAATAACTCATTTCATAAATATATCTCTCGAATAAGTATAAATAACTTTTAATAATCCAATGGTATATTACATCACTTTCATTTAACAAACAATCACACACATATCTCTGCTTCATTGGATCAAATCTATCTCCTCAAGAACTTCCCGTTTACTGTCATACAACTACAATAGCAGAATTGAGTTCTCCATTCAACAATACATAGTAGTTTCAACCATGTTCTACCATCCATCAATTAATAGAGTACCGGCATGTAAGTAATGTTTATTTATTTGCTCATTTATTAATTTATTACAATCTAATAGACTATTTTATAACAATTTGTGGGCCTTACCTTGTCTGTTTAAACTTTTAAACTTTTTATACCTTTTTATTCAACTTACTCTTTTTGAAATAAAACCACAGACATGTAATATTGGCATAATTATTGTAATTTCCAACATCTACTTTGTTTATCTTTATTAGACAACACCCTAATATGGTTTTTATCATTTCAGCATTTATTTAACTTTGTATCGAGACCTGAAGATGCTTTGCATATTGTAGAAAGCGAAACCGGTCGTCTGATAGTTAAATTAAATTGATTGTGAGTAAGTCTTATTTATTATTTCTTTACCTATTTTTAATGTAGAAAAGATAACATGTTAATTACAATTTTGTATAAATTTCTAACTTTTAAAATATTTTCAGTAAAATTTACAATACTGCTGTGTTCAAAATGTACTGATAGTAATATCTAAACAATACACAATTTATATTTCATTTACTGTACCAGGAAAGTATTCAACTGTACAATGGCCAAAAAAACAATGAGATATTAGTTTGCTTTTCCATACTTATACAGTTTTTTGATTCGCCGTAAAATGTACAGAACTGCAGTTGTAAAGTAAATATAAGACGGGAGAATAAACAATATAATAGCTTTATAATCATCTTTTTCCTTGAGTTTATTTCATATCCCTCCTAAACGAGGTGGTCTATTATGGTTGCCTGGTTTCAACTACGTAACCAGGATTGTAGGATTGTCAGGAGGGGGGTTACAACTACTGGAGGGTTTTGGGTAACCCCCTGCCCCGCCTGGTATAGTGCTGAGTGTCCGAACCGCAGAAATGTAGTAGGTTTTCGAAACGGACCCACAGGGAATATAATTGGTAACCCCTGGACTATAATATTCAACTTGACACATGCCACAAGAAAACAGTTAGAGAATCTTTTTTAGTTTAAGTTTTATATTTATTTTGTAGTATAATCATTTAATTATTATTTTTTATTTCAGATCCCACATTGCCCTCGTGAACTCCCCATCCGAGAAACATCCTTTAACGTGCCTCAATACTACAATGATGTTCGGGACTACTACCATCCATACGACTACCATGGCTCTATCGAATCTTGTTCATGCAGTTCCGGTTCGGACACGTCAAGGACCACTTTTCGAGGACCTTGGTGCGTCTGTATAGTCATATGCGTAATAGTAGCGACGTTAACAGCAGGTTTAGGTTTACCTTTAGCTTTAGGTCCCCATCTGCCTCCACAAACAACCGAAGAACGATTGAATTTGGTCAAGAAGCTTCTAAAAGAACAACCTTTGATAGACGGCCATAACGATCTGCCCTGGAATCTTAGAAAATTCGTTCACAATAAGCTTTTTAAACTTAATCTTAGCGCTATTAGTGAGGAGGAACCTTGGTCTACAAGCAAGTGGTCACACACGGATATACCAAGGCTCCGAGCAGGCTTATTAGGCGCTCAATTTTGGTCTGCTTACGTGCCTTGCAAAGCCCAACATATTGATGCTGTCCAAGTTACATTGGAACAGATTGATGTTATTAAAAGGCTGGTAGATTTTAATTCGAACCATTTTTCGTTGGTACGTTCTACTCAAGAAATACGCAGCGTCCATAAAGAGGGGAAAATAGCTTCCCTGATAGGAGTAGAAGGTGGACATGCTTTGGGAAATTCATTAGCTGTACTAAGGACCTTTTATAACCTGGGAGCCAGGTATGTTATTTCTTTTATATTTAAATTCACCATATTTACAAAAACAATATCAAAACTTATTAAGAAATATTAATTAACAGTTCATCTTTAAACAAGAAAGAAACAGAATGGTAGAAATAGTTTTGAATAATACTAAAATATCGCCCTATATAATATTGGTTTAGTGATTCATAGGTAGTGTCGATTCTATTAAAATCAGAGAATTTTCAGAATTTAAAAGAAGAAAAAGTTTAAGCTTTTTTAAATTAAGGGAACAGTCTCATGCGATTAAAAAAAGACACATTTTAAAATTAAAGCAGAAAAAAAAACTATAATATTTATTAACATAATTCCTTATGGAGATGATTAAGTAAGTCTTGAAGTACATAAAAAAAATTTTAATAGCGATTTTAACTTCATTGGTGTCCTGTAGATGGCGTGTAGTAAAAAGTGCGTTTTTGGTGGTAAGACACTTTGTGGGTCACCTGTAACAGATATTCAAAAAATTCAAAATGGGTTGTATTCGTGAGACTTAAAACTAGATGATAAACCTTTAAAATATGTAAATTGTATTATTTTGAAGAGTTTATACGAATTTTTTTCAAAAAAGTCGAAAAAATCGCTATATTTTCGGTGATTTACCGATATATAATAAAAAGGAGGTGGTTTTTAAATATTTTAAAGGTTTATCAACTAGTATTTTGTATATGCATTCGAAAAATTGTTGGTTTTTTAAAATCGGTTAAGAAGGTTCAGAGAAAAGTGTCTGACCAGTTTGAAAATGTTACTTTTGAGAAAAAAGCATTTAAAGTTTTTTTTACATAATTTTCGTGAATAAAAGGCTGATAACTTTATACTTACGTTTAATCGGCCATTTTGGGTGAATATTGAGGACCCTCTTCATCCAACAGTTGTTCTAAATGGCTTTGTAAAGCTTTTTTCTTTTTGATTTTCTTTTTGATTTATAATTAATTCATTTGTTCGACTGGAGTCTCAATTCACGCCGCGATGCTGCCAGTGTAAGTGTAAAAACGGAACACACCTAGATCGCATGTCAATTCAACGAAAACGTACTTATTTATAAATGTAGATATGAAAATATTTTATAACTAAAAAAATGGTTATGTTTTATTGCCAAAACGGCTTGAAAAAAAGTTGATTTTTAAAATTAAAAATTGATTTTTTGAAAGTTTGCATGAGACTGTCCCCTTAAAGAAAAAAATAAACAAATTTATTTACATTTGAAGACGCTGGCGTGAAAAGGATGTAGGTATGCCACGAACAATTACTTTAGAGAAAATTAAAGTTTGAAAATCATTTTAAATCCACAAAATCCAATTTAAGTGCAGTTTATTTGATTTGATGTACAAAAGATAAAACTGGTCATTAAGATTTAATTGTTGAGAAAATTGTGGCTTGTATCCTTTTACATAAAAAAAATCTGAACTTAGTTTTCACTTGACAGGTATTCTTCATCTATATCTTCTACTGTCATTGTTTGTTACTCAGCCTCTTGAATAACTAAATTTTTTGCACCAATTTCCAAATAAAATTTTTTGGTAAACTTCGAGTATGTATGGTAGCAAAAACGATAAGTTTTGAAGGTTTTGAGGGTTTAGTTTTATTGGTTCTGATACCCCCATTTCCAACATTCACATTCTTGAAAATTTCATTTAGGAAGGGTTTTAGTTTCATTATATTTGGGCGTTCATTGTCAAATCTAAAAACACAAATTTTGGGGAAGAAAACATTTTCTTTTTAATCTCTTAACTTTTTTTTGGTTATAGTTTCTTCGAAAACTTTGCTTCCACAAGCTAACCAAAACCCAGTTTTTGTTTTGGCCTCCACAATTATCGATATAAACGATGAGGTTTTTAGGAAGGCGTTCACGCTCTTTAAAATGTTTAACGAGAATACTAGCAATTTTATCGCTGCCTCTTTTACCAGTATTTTCAGACCACATATACATATAGCAATTTTCATTACGCAATTATGCATACCAAAATTATACACTCACGCTTTCCTAAGGTCAAAAGCTGCTCCGGTTGTTAATGAGGGCACAGGTAGTGCTTGCTGAAGGTCAAATGACAATATCTATGTATCTTTTGAAGCGGCCAATTTTCAGTTCGCCTTAAATGTAACTCTTTTTCTATATTTAACTGCTTCACAGAATCTTCATCTTCTATAGAGTTTTTAATCTTCACATTTATTTCATCGCATATTTTTCAGTTGTCACATCTACGTAGTTTAAATCCAATATTAAATTCTAAACAAAATATCCTGCTGTATTTATCTTATACTTATAGGTATGGGTATTATACTTTTTTCGGCACACCAGGGCTTATAATAGTCGTAATATAAAGAAGATATATTGAGATATTGAGATATGAACACACTACTGGATCAGTTAAAGTACTTGACACACTTTCGAACGAATTTCATCCAGAATTGGGTGTCAGACAAGGATGTATACTATCTCCACAATTATTCAACATATATGGGGAGTATATTATGCGAAGAGCACTTGAAGGATGGGAAAAGAGCATCTCAATAAATGGTCATAAACTAAACAACCTACGTTTCGCAGATGACACAGCCCTTCTTGCAAATAGTCAAGCAGAGCTGATAGAACTTATACGACTGATCGAAAACGAAAGTCAAATATTTGGTCTGCAATTAAACATATCAAAGACAAAGATCATGATAGTGGATAGACTACACAACAATCATCCACACATAACCACAATTGACCGGTTCGAGGTTGTGAGCTCATACTTATATCTGGGATCATTAATCACAAACACAGGGTCATTACAAGAAGAGATTAAACGTAGATGTGATCTAGCAAAAGTTGCCACAGCAAAAATGACCAAAATATGGAAGGACTGTCAAATTTCAAGAGCGATAAAGATGAGGTTGATCAACTGCTTAATATTCCCAATACTGACCTACGGATGTGAATCTTGGACTCTGAGACAATCGGAGAGAAGAAAGATAGACGCCACTGAAATGTTCTGTTGGAGACGAATGTTACGAATTCCTTGGACCGACCGCAGAACAAATAATTCAATTTTAAGAGAGCTAAAAGTTAGCCAACGACTCTCTAGTAAAGTCCATCTTCAACAATTAAAATATTTTGGGCATGTTATGAGAGCAAACACAGAAAACATGGAAAGACTCATAATACAAGGAAAGGTAGAAGGCCGAAGATCACGAGGAAGATCCCAACAAGATGGATAGATCAAATTACAGGAATATGCCAAAGACCTATGCATGAATTAAAAGAAATGACCAGAGACAGAGATCTCTGGAGACGGACAATACACGACATCACGTCGACCACTACACTCCCCCTGGGGGGTCATGATTGAAGAGAGATATGAGATTATGGTCAATGTATACTTTGTTCGGATTTTTATTTCTGCTATAGTGGCTTTTGTACTTAGGTATGCTATTAATATGCTCCCGAGCTGACTGGCAAGCTTCCTCAAAAATTTTATTATGACGTTCAAGTATTTTCCTCGTTGATCTGATTTAGGTCTTGTAAAGCCTTCATGCATTTGTTTTTGCAGTAACTGTAATCGCTTTTGAGCAGTAAGGCCATGGATGGAAATTAATTCTTTTTTGCATATTTTCACATCAAATCCATTTACCTTTACAAAATAGTTGAAAGTGGAAATCCGAGAAGAAATGCATCCATTTCTTGCATCCGCAAGATGGGCCCAAAACTCTAGCTGCAACATCTTTTCCTGTTTTACTTGTATATGGTGAACCAAGATTTCGACGTGCTTTTCTTAATGCATATGTATCCATATGTTTCTATTGCCACGTACCCCTGACTTATTTCCAGCTGAAGATCAAATGGATTCATTTGGTGATCACGATGAACCCTGTGGCTGCGACTGATTCTGCAGTTTGTATTGCAGTATAATATAAATGTCTTATTATTGGCACCCACGAAGATTACCCTCGGAATTTTGTATATAAACTGATTCAAATTCAAGTTGTCAACTAAACGTTTATTTATCAACGAAATTTCTGATCTCATATCAACGGGTATCTGTGCATACTCTGTACATATTTGTGCAAATATATCAAATTTAACCTAAATAAAAAGTATTTATGCGTTATAATAAATATAACTCATAGAACTTATGGTTTGATACCTTTCTTTTTTAGTAATAAGTTTTAACAGCGCCGTCACATATTATAGCAAGCATATTTGGATGATTATACGATAAAATCTTTACACCCATCTATATCCATATTATCATCGGCAGTAAGAGCCTTCAATTTACAAAAGAGCTGCCCGAATCTAAATTTCGACGACATAAAACGGGTATATAACCCTCAGTTTTATGAACTCCGTTGTCATTCAATTTATTTTAAAACGACTGAGCAATTTCGTTTATATAATCCATTATGCACGTTCCTAGGCGAGCTAAACATTATACGAAAATTATTAGAGAACATTATTCAACGAGGCAATGATGACCATAACCCAAAAGTGCACTAATGTTGTAATGACATATCGCTTTATCAAATCTATTACAATCTATGGTACATTGGCTCTACTATAAATAAAGGTAATGATGTCAAGTCTGATACATATTTCATCGTTTAATTTCAAATATAAGTGTTTCTTTAAACGTCAGTCAGCGAATATTGTAAAATAGGTGAGAGTAAATTTAATTAATTTCAGTTAAAATTTGATTATTATTGAGTTAATGGCTCGACAACTATGATCATTGGCATGGTACATTCAGGTACCTAGTTTAGTGTGTGTATGTGTAGAATAATTGTCTTGATACTTAGCAAAGTCGACGTCATTGTCTTTGCTAAGAGACGCTAATTGTATCCGAAAGTCTGCGGTCCCTCCGGTGAGTACCGATCGCACAAGGATATAAATTATTTTCATTCATTAATTTTTAATAAACGAAAATTTCTCCACCCATATGAGATTCGAACTCACGACCTTTAGGTTTAAAGGTAGGCGCTCTTACCACTGAGCCACAGAGGGGGTTCAGTTAAAATTAAAATATATATTGTTATGGTTTAAATTTATTAAAATCTGATAAAAAATTAAATTCACCAGCCGTTAACGTCATTTCACCGTATAAATAGGAATATTAGATTTGTAAGATTAAAGTATTTGAATGAGTAACGGTTTTTCTAATATAGTAGAAAGTAGGCACATAGGAGAATAGATATTTGTATGATAACAATAGAGGAATTCTCACAAACGTTTAATGTTAATAGCCCAAAAGACAACCATTTTAGAATATAATGTTTAAGTCTTTTGTTTACAAAGAAATTGGACCAAGAATTAGAAAGTTTTGTGATTAGGGATATATATATACAATAACTGAAGTAGTATTAGCTGTATTGTCTCTATAAACTTGAAAACAAAGAGAAGATCTACTACTACTACTATCGGTTTACAGCGTTCTCCGGCGCCTTCCGACTCTTAACCGCCATTCTCCTCTATTTAACCATAGGCCTGGAGGGATTTCTCTTTTCTCTAGTTTTTTTTCAATTCCCTCTCTCCAGCTTCTTCTCGGTCTTCCTCTTTTCCTTTTCCCTTGTGGTGTCCACGTCAAAATCTGTTTCGTACATATGACATCATATAATTTTGATCCGCAAGAAAAGCATTGATCATATCAACTTTATTTGAAATACACTGCAAATTAACATGAAACATGCTTACCGTACCTTGTTGTATTTGTTTATTTTGATAAAAGTTAGTAGAAGCTTCTAGGTTTCTTCCTCCGTCTTCTTTATGTGCTGAAATTTTTTTTTGAAGTTAAATCTCCTAAAATACTTTATATGTGGAGTATTTGTCAGTTCTACGCCATTCCACGCAGTTGAAAGTAATATCGGGTACCGTCTCATCCAACAAATTTACATTACAAACAATCATACGTAACGGGAAATGCGTTTATTGTAGAAGTCTGGTTCATTTGAAAAAGTTACTTCTTCTTCTTAACATGCCATACACCAAAGTGCGTAGGCGACAATCTCATTACTAGAATTCTGTTCTTGGCGGCGTGACACAGCTCACCTGTATTGTGTATTCCTGTCCCTTCTTTCATATTCCTTAACCAGGATAATTGTTTGCGGCCGGCTCCTCTCCTACCTTCGATCTTCCCTTGTAGGATTAACTGTGGTATTTCATATTTTGCTCCTCTCAATATGTGCCCAAGGTAACCAATCTTGCGCTTTTTAATTAATTCAAAGAGTTCTCTTTCCACGCCGGCTCTATTAAGGACGTCATCGTTTCGAACTCTATCCACCCAAGGTATGCGCATCATTCTTCTCAATGACCACATTTCAAATGCTTCAAGTTTGTTGATAGATGTTTTTTTCAAAGTCCACGTTTCCATGCCATAAAGCAAGATGGACCATATGTAGCACTTGACCATTCTGTAGCGTATTTCGAAGTTTAGGTGTTGATTACATAGGAGCGGTCTGAATTTCACAATAGCTTGTCTTGCCATTTGTATTCGGGTTTTTATCTCGTGTTGTGGATCCGATTGGTCATTGATTGTGGTGCCAAGGTATTTAAAAGTTTTCACGCGATTTATACGATTGTCACCTATGCATATTATCGGGTTTTCTGGAGGGTTTCTGCTAATGACCATATATTTCGTTTTCAAAATGTTGATTTTGAGGCCATATTTTTTACCTATGCTATTCACCCTATCAAGTAATAACTACTGATCTTCCAAATTATCAGTTATAATCACTGTGTCGTCCGCATAGCGTAGGTTGCTAATTGGTATGCCGTTCACCTTAATGCCTAATTCCGTATCTTCTAATGCTTCCGCAAATATATTTTCAACATATAAACTAAAAAGCATCGGAGAGAGTATGCAGCCTTGGCGGACACCTTTCCGGATTTCAAATTCATCCGTATATTGGTCTTGATCAATCCTCACCTTTGCCATTTGGTTCCAGTATAGATTCTGAATAATTCTGGTCTCCTTCTGGTCAATGTTGGCCCTATGTAGTAGTTCCATCATGATATCATGTTTAACATTGTCAAATGCCTTCTCGTAGTCGATGAAGGTGAGGTAGACATCTTTTCGTTGATCTAAGCAGTTTTGTATTAAGGTGTTCAAACATAAAATTGCCTCTCTTGTTCCTAGTCCTCCCTTAAAACCGAATTGTGTTGACCCGCTAAGTTCTTCTAGTATCTTGTACATTCTTGAGTGTAATATCCTAAAGAAGAGTTTCAACAAGTGACTCATTAAACTGATTAAGCGGTGTTCATTGCATTTTGTGGCATTAGCTGTTTTTGGGATCATCACAAAGGATGACTGCAGCCATTCTCGCGGAATGTAACTAGTATCATAAATTCTATTGAACAGCCTTACCAAGATTTCGATATTCTCCTCGTCTAGTAGTTTTATTGCTTCTATATTAATTTCATCTGGACCTGTTGCTTTATGCATCTTTGTGGTTCTAACTGCATATTCTATTTCACTTCGCATTATTGATGGTCCTGATAAGTTTTCGGAAGGAAGTTTGCGCGTTGGTTGTGTTGGTCTTTCGTCACTAAAAAGGCTTTCTGCGTATTCTTCCACGCCATTGCTATCTCCTCTTCTGACTCTATGTATTCGTTTCTGTCGTTGCGTATTCTTGTTCTGTGGTGGCTTTTGTGTATATTCGATATTTCTTTGATCTTCTTATGTAGTCCAAAACTATCTCCTTTTTCCTGCAATTGTTCTATTTCGTTGCACCTTTCCACCATCCAACGTTCTTTTGCTTTCTTAATTTTCTGACTGATTTCTTTGTGTATCTGTTTGTATTTGTCTTGATTGTGTTGTTGTTTATGTTGCCTTCGCTTTTCCATTAGATCCATAATTTCGTCCGTCATCCATTCGTTATGCTTTCTCTTTCTGATCTGTGTTTTAACTTCCCTGTTTACTGCCAGAATCGTTCCTTTAATATCATTGACCATCTCTTCGATATCATCATTTTGTTCTATTACTCGCATTCTTTCATTAATTTGATTCGCATAACTCTTCTTCAGATTTTCGTCTCTCATCAGTTCTCTTGTATTTATAGGTGTGCTGGTATTTGTATTTGTTCTCTTAATTTTTGCTAGTTTTAACCTCACATCTGCTATTAGCGGATTATGATCGGATGCAATATCAGCACCTGGATATGCTGCGATTCTTTTGATAGCGTTACGAAATCTTCTGTTTATTAAAACGTAGTCAAAAAGTTACTAGTATAATTTAAAAAAAATATATGTTATAGATTGTTTCTTATGTGAAAGTTTAAATCAAGCGTTTTTTAAGCATATTTCAAACGCCTCACATTTGTTGTCAAAACTCAAAACTAAAATTTCATGCAATCATCTTTTTTGGGCTCCCAAAATTGATATTTTTTGTAAAATTCAGCTTGTTCGTATGATTTTTAGAGTCTGTCGACTGAACTATTTGTACAAGTTTACTTACTTTGTCTAAATTCTAATTAAACATAATATTTTTCTTAATTTATTAACTTAATTTAGAAATTTTACTGATTTTTCTTTGCCATTGAATTTTAAAAAACTATACTAAAGCAATTTCTTAAATATAAAACTATATTAATTTTTGTTTATTCTCTTATTTTATAGATATCTCACAATCACCCATTCGTGCGACACCCCTTGGGCTACGGGGACCAACACAAAGACCCAAGACGGCCTTTCGGAATTCGGAAAAAGCGTAATAAAAGAGATGAACCGTCTGGGCATGATAGTCGATCTCTCGCACACTTCCATGAACACTGCCAAGGCGGCGCTCAACGTATCCCGGGCGCCCGTTATTTTTTCCCATTCAAGCGCCTTCTCGTTGTGCAACTCGTCCCGAAACGTCCCGGACGATGTACTGAAACTCATCGCGCACAACGGCGGAGTGATCATGGTGAATTTTTACACTTACCATGTTACTTGTAATGAAACTGCCACTATACAAGACGTTATTAACCATATTAACCACATTCGGTCCGTTGCTGGGATCGAACACGTTGGAATAGGAGCAGGTAAGTGCTAAGAGTTTTTTAATTGCTTTCTATACACGACTTAATTGAACTTTCCTTTAAAGTGTAAAATTGCCATAGGTTGTAGTAATAGTCAAAACTTTGGGCAAATTTATGTTTTATAACACAAAACATTATTAAAGTATCCTTATTACTTGTGTGTTCTTAACCCTTTACCACATGAATATTTGTTTTTTGTCAAAAATAAATTCTCAGATAAGAATTTTAATTCTATTTTTAAGTAAAAATATTGAAAAAATCTAGCTACGAGGAAAACTGTATTGACAAAAAAAAATTTTGGTGCCAAATATGGAACATCATGCAACAATGTAATATTAAAGTCAAACTATTTTGAAGCTACAGTATACACTATACAGTATGAAACTGCAAATAACAGTTTCTTTCTTTACTAATACATAACGGTATTGTGCATTTTGTGCACATTATACAGATAGAACGAATTTAAAACGGAACATACAATTTAATATATGTCTGTTTGAACTGCATTTGAAATAGTGGACCAATATAAAACTTGGACAAAAATAAATCCATACCTTGGTATAGACATCGTATAAAATATCGTTCAACTATATGTCTCGCAATGTTGTTTGCGTAAAGGAAGCGATAATAGTTCAGGAAATGAAGCTCGAAAAAAGTTAAAACCTCGCAATTTTTTCGTCCTGCATGAATTGAGTTGAAATTTTAACAGAAGGTAGGTGATAGCCCAAGGATCAAAATCTATATCGAACCGAAGTGCGCTGAATGGTTTTAGGAGTGAAAACTACCCCTAATTGTCAAAAATTATAAAATAACATATTAAACCTGAATATGGGTAAGATTTGGTTTGAATTAGTTAAATAATGATTATTTTATACTTTTGAATAGAGTTCCATCATATTTCAACACTTAAAAAGCAACCCTTGTTAGATATTAATGTAAAAAAATGACTAATTCTAAAAAAATTATTTCGCCTTGGATCGATTTGGATAAAAATTTGGATTTAAGCTCAATTCACCCGCTGCTTTATAGTTTATGTCATGTAGACGAACCCTGATTGTTCTTAGGGGTGAAAACTAGCCCTAATTGTCAAAAATTATAAAATAACATATTAAACCTGAATATGGGTAAAATTTGGTTTGAATTAATTAAATAATGATAGTTTCGTGCTTTTGAATAAAGTTCCATCATATTTCAACCCTTAAAAGCGACCCTTGTTAGATATTAATGTAAAAAATTAGTAATGCGAAGAAAATGATTTCGCCTTGGAACGATTTGCATAAAAAATTGGAATTAAGCTTAACTCACCCTCTGCTTTATAGTTTATGTCATGCCGATGAACCCTGATTGTTCTTAGAGGTGAAAACTACCCCTAATTTTCAAAAATTGTAAAATAACATTACAAATCTTGAGATGAGTGAAATTTGGTTTGGATTAGTTAAATAGTGATTTTTTTATACTTTAAAATACAATTTCATACATTTTCAACCCTTAAAAATCAATTGTTATGAGTGCTATAGGTAAAAACAATTTTTTGCCAAAATTTTTCAACTTTTCAACTTTTGAAAATCACCCTTTACAACATTGCAGTTGTAAAGGGTGCAGTTTATAAACTAATTTAATAGATATAAATTGAAAAAAGTAGAATTAAATACAAAAAAAATTATCAACATAAAAAGGCACCATATATTCTTATACATTTACATAAATAGTTGAAAATAATTTACATTTATAGGTAAAACAATTATAATATTAATTTTATTCGTCATCAATTACATCTTCATCGTGATCTATGTCATCCTCATCTTCTTCAATTATTGGTGGACTATTATTGCACCCTTCACCTGAGCACACAGAACAAGTAAAGTTACAATATAAACCAACTTTTCTGCACCCACATGAAACGCCGCATCCTTTTTTGCATTGGCAAAAAATAATTTTCAAAAGTTCATCGGGTGCAGGTTGTTTGTTCATGCGTACGGGTAATAACAAACCATCTCACTCAATTTTTGAGCTAGAGTCTTTTTTTATGATAGATCTATTTATGCTCTTTAAAAAAGGTTGCGTGAGTTTTCTTCCAAAAATGCATCATTTTCCCGATATTTGACTTTGAATCTTTCAAATTTGGCATTTGAAGAAAACCGCTGAACATTGATAGGCCGTATTTCGGTTCCTATTATATCGCAAAAACATTTTAAAAAATGAATTGTATTTGTCTTCTTAAAAGCTACAAATTTGTTGTCCACAATTTTTTTGATGAAATGCACCATTTTCGAGTTATTCGCGAAAAAATCGATTAAAAACGTCGATTTTTTCGTCTAAAAGTTGTTACTTTCAGTCGCGAATAACTTGAAAAATATCAGTTTTACAAAAAAAAATGTATAGAACATTTTTTGTTTATAATCACTTGAAACTGCGCATGCCTGCCTTTCTCGCCGTCAGAACTATGCCGCATATCTCGCGTACACTATTAGTACGTGTGAGATATGGGCTGCCATGCAGCTACGGCAAAAATTGCGTTAAAACATTAAAAAAAAATTTTTTGGTTTGTTTTCTTATTCCACACGTGTTTCGAGTTATAAAACTCTTCATCAGAAACACTTGTGGAAGTTCAAACTAAAATGAAATGCAGTAGGATGCAGGTTCCAGTATTTGAAAAATTACTGCAAATGGTCAAACCAAAAATAAATGTAAACTATCGCTCTGATGGAATTTCTGTTGAAGAGAGGCTTGTTATTATCTAAACTCTTCCACTTTATAAACACGTGGAAACACAAACATAAACAAATAATTTAGTTTGATTTGTTTGACAAACCTTGTCACTTTTTCGGTATTGCTATTGGCTGCGATGACAAAGATACAGTTTTTTTATGTTCTGTGATCGTGACTACAACCACAGAAGAATTGGTGTATTCTGTGCTACAACGGCCAACGGCAAAAGATAAAGTTGGTTCATCTTGAAAGGAACCGAACGCCAACGCCAACGGCGAACGAGGTTTATAAATAGACATACGAGTTTTCCATTTGACCATGTTGTAACGCGAACGTCAGCGCCAGCGCAACGCCAACGTAAAGTTTATAAATCAAACTCTCAATTCAACTTCTTCTTCGATACGTTAGTTCTTTACGTATAGGGAGATACGTTACGTTAGGTAGTTACAAAAATTCTTTATTATGTCTAAGTAGACACTTTTTACAGCATTTACTTTGTCTATTTATTATACGTCATTGATTCTTTGTGTAAGAAAGTGGCTAACTACACAAAAGAAAGAAAACTTATTCCAAAGCTTGCTCTAATTACGAATTTTTTTTGATGCTTGTGTATTAAGCGTGCAATAATTTTAAACTGCATTTTAATATTGAGAAAGAATAATCAATTACTGTCAAGCGGCAGTAATTCCTTAGACGTAGAGTTTACTAAATTAATTGTTTATTAGTAATTGCTTATCATACTTTAATCTTTACAAAATCGCTAAAACAGTATTTTTTGACACTTTAGCTGAAAATAATTTATCTGTTTTAATATATTTAACAAAATTATTGTTTTCCTAGGATACGACGGAATTAACATGACACCAAGCGGTCTGGAAGACGTCTCAAAGTACCCCTACCTATTCGCCGAACTTCTGGCCGATCCTTCATGGACCGAAAAAGATGTCATCTCTTTAGCAGGCTTGAATTTGCTGAGAGTATTCGAACGAGTGGAAGAAATTAGAGACAAGTCGAAAAAACAAGAGATTCTTCCGCTCGAGGACAACATTCCACCTATGCATAATCCCTGTTCTTCTTTGTACTCTTGACGACGGTTGTACAGGTTTCTAGGATATCAAAGGTTAAATAAACTGTTTAGGTTATCGTTTGACTAAAGTATGTATATTATTGCGACAATATTTTTGATCGATAAATCGTACGTTAAGTAAACGTTTTTGTATGTAGTAAAAATGTGTTTAGTTCATTAAATCAATCTATGTTTGATATAAACTAGTGTTTTCTAAAACAATTTGATGTCTTCTTTGTTTATTTTTGTTTTCATACTGATTGAATTCAGAGGAATTATTTATTTTTATTAATGAAAATAGAGACATTTTCATTTCTGTAATGTTAGTGATTTTCTAAATAGACTTGTATCTATTTTTAATAAAGCATTTCCTCTATTAAACATCAGGCCAAAACATAACAAACCTTGGATTACCAAAGGCATTCACATTACTGCGAAAAATATGCGTTCTCTGCTATATATTAAAAAATTTAATGACAGTATCCCCATCTCTGATTATATCAACAAGTACAGAAAATGCTATATAAAACTACTCAAAGTAGCCAAAAAATCCTACTTTCATAATCGCTTAACAAGCTCCAAAAATATTTTAAAAGAAACTTGGTCAATAATAAACGATTTTCGAAATAAAACCAGTACAGCGAATCAAACCTTTTCTTTTCTTAACCCCGAAAATCTAAATGATTACTTTGTTAATGTGAGTAAAAATATAACCTCAACTATTTCCACAACAAGATCCATTTTCCTATCTCTCTAATTCAAAAAACATTGCTGATACCTTCTTTTTAAGACCAGTTGATAAGACGGAACTCATTTCAACAATTCGTAGTATAAAAAGCACATCGTCCTGTAGTACAGATGGATTATCTATTAAAATTTTCTCAAATCTACCGCATAATGTTTTGGAGGTCATGGTCTCGCTAGTAAATGATTCCCTTGAAAAAGGTACATTCCCTAACTGCCTAAAGACTGCCATCGTCATTCCTCTTCATAAAGGTGGAGAAAAATCTGATGCCTGCAACTATAGACCTATTGCCTTGTTACCAGCACTATCAAAAATTATTGAAAGACTTATAAAAGTTCGACTTATGCCCTTTCTCCTTAAATATAATATTTTATCGCAAAATCAGTTCGGCTTTTTGTCTAATAAATGCACTAGTGATGCCATATTTTCTGTGTTACATGATGTATATCTATCACTAAACAGTAACCTCTCCTCCGCCACCGTTTTCTGCGACTATTCCAAAGCCTTTGACTGCGTAAATCACGACATTCTATTAAAAAAAATTAACTTTCTATGGAATTCGGGGTGTGTCTTTGAACTGGTTCAAACTTACTTGGTAGGTAGGAAACAATTGGTTAGAATAAATGACACCGACTCTAGTTGTAAAGATATTGAGTGTGGAGTACCGCAAGGTTCAGTATTAGGTCCCATTCTTTTTTTACTTTTCATTAATGACATCATTACTTGAAAATTAAAGGGAAAATTTTTCTATTTGCTGATGATACTAGTATTACTTGGAGCAGCTCTGATATTTCAACGCTTCATTCAATTATAACCGCTGATTTACTTATAATCAAGGCTTGGTCAGACTCCAACTTACTTAGCTTTAACGTGGATAAGACTGTAGCATTATCTTATAAAGGAGTCATGCAACCCTTGCTTTTGAATGAGAGCCAAATCAATATCGTAAATTCCGTGAAATTTCTAGGTATTCTCATTGTCAGTGATCAAATCCTTGCATACTGACTCCTTAAGGAAGAAACTAGCCTCAGCTTGCTTTGCAATAAGATCTGTTTCGAAGGAACTAAATTTATCTTCCGCCAAAATGGCATATTTCTCATTGTTCGAGTCCCATCTTCGATATGGGCTTCCATTTTGGGGTTCTAGTACAGCGGCCCAATTTGATACTATTTTTAAGTTGCAAAAAAGAGCAATCCGTTATCTATTTGGTCTCAAACAAACAACTCATTGCAAGACCTACTTCAAAAATCACGGAATTTTGACGCTTCCCTCTTTATTTATTTTGGAAACGGTTTGTTTGATTCGAAAGCATCTAAACATTTTCCCGATAGACCTGACCATGGCTACTCCATTAGAAATTCGGATTGTAACGTTTATTTGCTGATCCCGTCCACTCAGCTAGTAAAGAATTCTATTCTATATCGTGCAAAGAAACTTTATAATCACCTTCCAAGAGAAATTAAATCCGCAACATCCTTCATTAAGTTTCGTAAGGTGACAAAAATCTATCTCTCAGAAAGACCATATTATTCAGTTGACGAGTTTCTTAATGTATAACAAAGAAACAAAATTAGTATTGTTTATAATTACATTTGGGTGTCTCAAGCAGTGGCTACAATTTGTCTCATTTGTTGTTGTCTGTACAAATTATGTAGGTTATACAATAATTTTACTAATTTAAAATTGTGTTATTCTGTTTTTTACTATATTTGTTTTTGTTTTATACTTTTTGTACTATTTGACTGATTTATTTTTTAGCTTTGTCCATAAAATTGTTCAATAATTTTCAGTGACAATAAAGCATATTTCTATTCTATTCTATTATTTTTTAAATTTCAAAAGACTTTCGTCTTCTTTATTTGTCATCTTCTTAGAGAATTGTTCCTAATTTGTTTAACCAGATACATCTTCTTTTTGGTGTCTTCATCCTAAACAATAACATGGAAAACAGGTACCTTTCGGTAATCTATTCTTTGAATATATTTTGCTTACTACATGGCACTTTTGCAATCAATAGAATGTTTCGAATTTTTTGAATGGCTGATTTTGGTTTATAGTCTCTTCAGTTTACTCATTATTTTAATTTATTTCCTTCCTCAAATTATTTAATAATTTTAGTAGGTATGTAAAATTTGCAGCAATTGTGACAGACATAATGTTATTTTTATTTAAAAAAAAATATCAAAAATATAACAGCAACAATTTAAACCTGTACAAAGTGAGGCAAATTGCGTGAATTGTTTAGACAAGTTGCTTAACTTATTTACCAATATATTTTCATGGGACATTTCCTATTCTTTGTTTCAAGTTAAGAAAATAACATTTACGCTTATGGAGATCAGTGTTGCCAAAATTCTCAGACACTCTCTTTCGCACGGATGTCCAAGATATTCCCTTTGCTTAATTTTTGAATTTTCATTTTCAATTAACATTTAACTGTAAAGTCAGAATAACTACTAAATAAAAGCCTTATTATCATTATGTAGTCAGAGAACGACATAAAATAGCTGACATACGCACATCGTATTATTTTAAGTTGCAATTAGTAATTAGATATACGCATTTCCAAGCGGTCAATATTTTCTACTGATTTTTGGTTTCATGGCATATCGTATTCTCACCGAAAAACAAATAAACTGTCGTTACTATAATTTAAAATAAGATAAAATAAAATTATCTTTTGTAAATTACTATTTATCTAATTAAAATCATTTTCCCTAATTTTCATATCTTGTTTCGAATGGGCACTTTTGGTCAATTACGTTAAAAAACATTAATTTAATTCATGTTTGTGGAAACCAAAATAAAAATTATACAACCCTAAATTGTGCTTGTGTGTGTCGTGGCAACGCCGCGTTGCTATCGTCCATAAGAAATACATGGCCCTATCTTCGCAATGTTATTTTCTAAACGTGGAACGTAGTATATATCTAAACAGATTCAGAAATAAAATTCAAACGAATTTGAATATTGAATGTGAAGATAATCATTTGTTCTTTACTACCGATAATTTGAATAAACATCTCTAAAATAATTTTATTACCAAACATCAGAAATTTACAAGATATGCTTTTAAAACTGTTTGAAAACTGTATGTTTCTCCTATTCTTCTTATCTTTGGAGTTATTCTATCTTTTAGTTCTTAAATAGCATCAGGTTTTGTTTTATAAGCAATATTTTTAAAACACTCTTATAGAATATATAAGTATTACAATAATTAATACCAAGTTATCGCCTAGGCCATTCATAAATTCACGTCTTCCAATCAAACACGTTATTTAAATATTCTCTAACCTTGACAGCATAATGAGTAGGTGTTTTATTATTTTGCAACTAAACATCCTATTTGTGTTTATTGTTGTGGTCTAAAGTTTAGCTTCTTCTTCTTGTAATATGACTAGGTCCTGTTATTTATTTGATCTAGACCTACACTTTCTACATCTTCTCCCTAACAGCAGTGTCTTGCTGTTACCAATCTGATAACGTCCTTCACAGCCAAATCTCTTTCAGTGTCCTCGTTACCTATTCTATCATCTAGTCTGGTCCCCTTTATTGTCCGTTAAACTTTTATCTCTGATAATCATATTTTCCTTTGTGTTTAGCATGTCTCGTCTCTTGTATCAGCAGGGTAAGTCAAGATAGGTCTGACGCAGGTCTCATAAATTTGATTTTTACTTTCTGTGGTCATGTATTTATTTCTTCATATTATGTTCCACAATGAGAGAGTTGGAGGAAAGTCGCATAGATTATGGGTATTCCAAACTGATTGCGAATATATAAAATATTGCAACCTATACCGTAATACAACACAAAGACACAAAATGTATAAAGATCAAAAGAGGAATCAGGCAAAGAGATACATTATCTCCCAAACTTTACACCTACGGTAGTTCTGGAACATACTTTTAAAAAATTCGAGTGGGAAGTCAAAGGAATCAATATCGACGGCGAAGAAATGCTCCCCCACCTACGATTTGCGGACGACATTGTTCTGATAACAGATAACTTAAAAGGGATTGGAACTATGCTTATGAGTTAGATGCCGCCTGTAATGAAGTTGGGTTGAACATAAATTTTGGAAAGACACAATACATGACAAATCTGGAACCAAGCAAAAATCCAAAAGTCGACTGCAACGAAATAGGATCAGTTCATAAACATAAATACTTAGATCATAAAATCGAAATTGCTAGGGACAACCAAACTGCTGAACTACAAAGAAGAATCACTTTAGCATGGGCCGCATATGGAGCTCTATCAGACATCTTCAAGAACAA